GGGAAAGCGTATCCGCAGTGGTCGTCCACTGTCTTGATCGTGGTCATTGTGAAGAACCACATGCTCTGCCGGCACGTCATACCCGTGATTAGATAGGCCAGACCGGCGCCTAGCGTGTCGAGGAAGAAGCCTTCCACCGGGTGGTTGTAGAGGGCGCCGTATGCGTAGGGAACGTAGAGACGGTGGTGTCGGGAATGGATGGCAGTGTAGAGATACTTGTTCATGTGCATTGCCCGATGGATGAAGTATTGCCAGGTATCGACTATGCAGATTGCAGTGACGAATTGGAGGGTGGGGATGAGAAGGTGGTAGATAGCGCGACCGGCGAGCAACTCCCAGGATGCGAAGGCGGGCACGGTCGTCGGTTGACCGTGTAGGAGGACGGTTTGGGTGAGGCCGGGGTAGACGCCGCCGAGGAGTGTACTGCTCAAGATCCCGTGAGAGCCACTCATGCGGCCGGCGAGACTTGCAGCGTCGATGCCGAGTGTGGCCAGTACGGTGGGTATAGCTCGCTGCGCGATTCGTAGTCGCCGCGCCCAGACCGCAATGTCATACTCCTCTTTCCCAAACGTCGGCTCCGGATCAATGAGCGTCAGGGCCAGCCCGGTTGCAGTCTGTATGACCTGCTGTAACAGCACATCCCGCAAAACATCCCACCTGCTAGCATGATTACGCTTCAGTACCTCTGCCGGCGTGTGTAGTCGGTATTGTGGGAAGAGGTCCCACTCGTCGCACAGGTGGAATATGCCCGACGCGGCCCAGTATGCTACGACAAGCAGCACAGGTGCCAGGTAGCCGTCCGCTATGCCGGGTATGAGCGGAGGGAGGGGGGAGAGGGTGTAGGAGGGCAGCGGTGGGAGGTCGTAGGCGAGCGTCGCGTTACTCATGGTCGGCGACCGTCCTGAGGTATGTGTTGTAGCGCCAACGGCGAGTTCGAAGGTCGAAGTCGCCCAGGAGGAATTATTATATGCTTCGTGCACGCGATCAGGCGCCCAAGAAGCGGAAAGTTCGGATGAGACGGATTAGGCTTTGTTGTGTAAGGTCGGTTTGAAAGCAGAAGGGAGGTAAGAATTGGTATTGGTGTCAATGCTGAAGGAGCGTCCGGAGGTCAATCTGTGGTGTAGAAAGTGTAGAGTGAAGAAAGGGTCGCGATGGTGAAAGGAGGCTTGGGTTTGGGTGAAGGCAGCGGAAGGGATCGCGCAGATGCAGAATGCACAAAACCGGGTGGCAAAACTACCCGGAATCCTTCCCGTCTCTTTCGTCATGCATATCGACGGGGAGTGTGTTGATTCTGTATCTGGATCCTAGGACGACCACGGTCTAAGCGTATCGCACCCACACACCAACTTGAGCGCAAACCTGTGTCCAGTAATTACCATGGCCGATGCTTGCGCAACATGCGCTTCCTCCTTCGCTAGCCCCATTGAACCCATGTCCGAGAAGCCGCTGCTACCTGGACGATACCTTCAGTGCTGCGGACGGTCGATATGCGCGCGATGTTTGAACCAGAACAAACGATACGAGACCTACTGCCCATACTGCCAGATCACGACAGAGCCCTCTTTACTACCACAAGGCTTACGAGATCCGCCCGCGTACTCATCGCTGGAGGAACATGGCGTCCCGCCACCGCCCGAGAGAGCACCCACAGCCAACGATGAGGACGAGCTACCCGCCTACTCTGCTCACCAGCCCGTCCAACCACCATCTGAGAAACGACGAGAGGAAGAGCGAGCGCCGGATGTCCTCCACTTTCTCACCCCC